CCTCTCAGCAGCTAGCTCTGCACACCAATGCCAGCAGCCCAGAGCAAACTCTCCCAAGGCCCTGGGCACATCCAGCCCCAGAGCTCACTCCTCAGGCAGTGCTGGCTTCTATTCAAACAGCTAAGGGGAGCTGCTCCTGCTTCTAGTGGAACAAAGATCTCTTGCTAGGTCACTTGCTGACTTCACCTGGACAGGGAAGTGGTTAGCAATTTACATGTCAGCTTGGTCATGTAAAACAAATTCAATTATCTGTAACTGGGCACCATGTTTGATCATTAAAAGTTCATGTGAATAAAAGCTATCGCAAAAAAAAAGTAAAAAAAAAAAAAAAAAAGAAAAGAAAAAAGAAAAAAGTAAAAGCAAGCTATTGCCAGTATGGGTCACAGGCAGGTCAGGTGGCTGAGACTCCCCAGGCTGAGACAACCCCAGGCTGGGGTTGGTGCAGGGGGAACTGGAGGGTGGACTCAGGATTACTGGGGCACCGGAAAGGAATCCTCAGGTAAGATCCTGAGCCCAGCGAGCGCGGAGGTGATACGGGGAGTGCTGTGGGATCACCCAGCAGGCTCTGGAGACCGAGGCAGAGGGAGCCCCAAACTTCGCCATGCTCACAGGGCTGCGAGGGCCAGCGCGGAGGGGAGGAGGAGGAATAGGGCACCTGCTCCCCGAACCGCCTGGTAGGAGCAGACTCTGGGAAGAGGCTCAAGTGTCCTCGGCCTGAGGCTATCGCGCTGCCCTCAGGCCAGCTTGAACCCCTGTGTCAAACACTTTCAAAGTGAGGCTCTAAAATCCTGATGTTTGCAACCAGAACTTAAATGAAACAGTTCCGAGCCTCTGCAGAGGCAGTTTGTCCAATGCGCAGGGGGCTAACATAGCCGTTTGCCAATGGGCAGGTGGTGAGGCTGAGAGAAACCATCACTGGCGACATCGACCTCGGCGCAGGGCTTGGCCGCAACGCCTGACGGGCGGGGGCCGTCCTTCTGAGCGAGAGCGGAGCTGCTGTGTCCGGGTCGATGCCCTCGCTTACCGCTTCCCACAACCTCCATTTGACGCGGAGGGAGCAGGGATCCAGAGAAAGGTCTGTCAGAGAGGAAAAGCTGCAGACCGCATGAAGTGCTTACTCCCTTGGAAAGTCAGGCCCAAGAGGCCTCTTGTCACAGAGCTCTTGCAAACCTGGGGCTTGGAAATGCAATTGTCCTGGTTCCTGAACTCCAATTCAATAGCGCTGGGACGAAAATTGGGAGAAATCGCTACTTTTCTGACCCTAAGCTGCCTGGACAACTTCAGGGTCTTTGCAATTCTTTATCAACTCTAAGTGTAGGCAACACGGCTGTATGATTGGCACTAAAAAAAAAAAAAAAAAAAAAAAAAAAAAAAAAAAAAAAAAAA